TATATTTTCATTACGAGAATTAACCAAATAAGTATGCAAAATGTGTGCAACGGACAGAGGAAAACGTTGAACGAAATGAAACGATGAGAGAGAGAGAAAAAAAGGGGGAAGGTCCACTTGAGATGCTTGTTGAGCTTGTAGCTCTCTTGGTACAACTATTCCATGCTCATTGCTAATTAAAACTAAATTGAGTGTCACACACACAGAGTCAGCATATTACTCTACTTAATTTGTATGTGTGTGTGTGTCTGCGCAAACCGCAGCTTTGTGGGTGGGTTCTGTGGCTATGCTGTGCTGTGCTGTGGCTTATTGCTAGTGCAAATGGAAATAGCAAATTCATGTTTGCTATTCATTTGTGTCAAAAGTTTGAAATACATATGTGGTATAGTGCAAATGTATTTTACATATGTACATAAGTACATACATACATGTATACATACACATATATATAGATACGTAGCGTATGCATGTACTATGTAAATGATTTAAATTTAACAAAAACAAAAACCCTATATTTTCTTAGCTGCTTACGAGTGGGGAAAAGGGAGAAGAACAGAGGCACATTAAAAGCTAAAGCTGAGACAACCACAATAGTCTCTACACTGGAAAAATCCATGGAAACAGATTAACCGCATGCATACATATGAAGATATACAAGAAAAAACTCGAAATCTCGAAGCTCTAAAGTGGCAAAGCAAGTGTGCAAACGATCGCTTACACCTCTTTTGATATATTTATGTATGAGATATTTATCTCAGTGTACAGCCTCTGACATTCTCCTCCTTCATGCTATGCAGACACATACACTCACAATGAATTTTTAATTGCCATATAATTATTTCCATGCTTTCAATTGAAATGTTTTGCTCAAGGGGCAGCAGTGAGCGAAATGAATGATGGAATTATGGGATGCAATAATGAATCATATGAAACTGTGTGGGTGACGAATGTTAGATATGTATTTATGAAGATACTTATCATATCATCATTTTATAAACATGAAAGAGTAACAAACGAACTGAAATTAATTAATTAAATAATCCTTTGCATTAATAAAGTGTTCTCAAGATCTCGAGTTCAACTCTTAATATCATGTTAATATCAGTGAGGAAATTCTGGATGATGACAAAATGAATTCGCTGCTGGCTGTGTCCCGTCCTGCCCGTGACCATATTGGGCACTTCGTCTAGACTGCTGACTTCTGCTGGTGTCTTTGTTCAGCGAACCGAACCGGTCCCAGGTCCCCATCTCGGTCGTGCGTCATGCCAAACCAGACGGACCATAAATGTATATCGTACTACAACAGCAGAACTATAGAACTACTCGTACAATAAAGACGGCAGCACACAGAAGCAGCAGCAGCCGCAGTCGAGACATGCATTCAGCAACAGCAACAACAATAAATTGTTCAATAAATCAATAGCAACAAAAGAGAGACATGCATAAAAAACGTCCATAACGGAGGAATGAAACGGACAGAAGCGCATTGCTCCCGGGTGCATGGGGGGAAGAAAATCACATGAGCTGCATAAGTAGTTGGGATAGGATAAAGTTTAAAGAAGAGCGGAGCGTACTCGGCTATTCTTCAATCAAAATAGGAAATGCTATAAAATAGATGATGTTTACTCCGATTTACCAACACTAGGTAACAGTGTATCTAATTCGAGTTTAAAAGCTAATACATTGCATTGGAATTACACAACAAGCTCGCCTTCTCTTCACTTTTGAGTTAAGGGTAATTTTTTCCCCAATATTTAAGCACAAATCCTGAAAATCTTGAAGTGTATTAAAGCCTCTACAGCTTGAATTCTTCTTTGTACGTCTGTACAGTGTATATCTACCCACTTCTTCCTTTTTGCCTTTCCACTCAACACACACATACACACAAGCCGGCCGGCTTGGCCTCCGGTTGTTTTACCCTTTCAGAGTGTACTCTTATCTAAGCCACATGTTTGCCGGGACTATAAGGAAGTACTATATCAGATGTATATTTTTTTTCCTATGATTCCTTATTATGCACACACTTAGTACAAATTTCGGAACAGCTAAGCTTCTAACTACACCTTATTCCATATATTAATGTTTGTTGCGTTGGATTCGCAAGGGCATCAAATGCTTCGACTGTCGGTGGCTAAGCCTTCCCCGCTTGTCCAGTTTGTTTTGGGCTCCGTTCCGTTTGCTTTGACTGTGTTTGGCCCCAGCGAAGGCAAATTGTTTCATTTTTCTGCCTCTTCTCCTTCTTCCTTTTTCTTCTCTCTTGGCTTCAGGTTTGGGTCTGGGGGCCACCGGCCTTAAGCAGGTGTGACTTATGTGTCGGTATGGGTAGCTGTTTGAGTTAAAGTCTCTCTCCCCACTCTATGTACAACTATGTATGTGCGTGAACCCCCGTGCGTGTGTGTGTATGTTTGTTTGTTTGTTTGTTTGTATATTTGTGTAACCCAGCTCACAAACTTGTTTGTTGTTGTAGTTGTTGTTACTTAATCGTCTGTGGACAGGTTATCGTTTGCTCTTGAACTTGAGTAGAGCGCCATAACAGAGCATAGGAGGTGAGGGCAAACAAACAAACAAAACTGAAGGTGGAACTTGACCAGAGACAGACACGGAGATGGACAGGAAAAAGAAAACAAATTGTATAGGGTGACGAGGAACTTTTCTGTCATTGGTGTGATAGATGCATGCCCTTCTACTTCCTGCCTCAGCTTGGAATTGATTGTAAGAACCCTGCAATGAATATCACAGATTTACCGATTTTCCACACACAGCATTCACTTCTTAGTATTTACCGTTTCTCAATTAAGGCTACCTTCTCTCCCTACTCTCTTTCTCTCTCACTCTTTCTTTCTTTCTCTTTTCGGCATCGACCTCCCTTTGGCCATTTAACGCGGACAGCAATTATTAAAACAGAGCCATTGGCGACATGATAAACGATTTCCGCAATATTTCCGCCTGCACTAGACGGCAGGGCCAAGGGGAGAGTTATAGGGTTGCACTGAGTTCTGTTGACATTCCCCTTCTGCCCTGCTGATACGGCCGGCCCGCGGGCGTGTAGCGTTTACTGCGAAACACTTCAGTGGAGGGTATATTAATGCAAGGTAGGGCTAGAGGTAGTACATTTGAAGTACTTGCATGCACAACGAAGTCCGGAGGAACAGTGAAAATGGCCAACAAAATTGGCAGCTGGGTGATCCCAAAAATTCCACCACCTTATATAAACACGCCTTGTGTTTTTTTTTTGCACAGGGTACAAATTGCGAAACTGTTAAAAGAGGCTGCGCAAGCATAACGGTCTTGTTTACACACTTCTTGTGCGACAGGATGCGGGGACGGGGGAGAGCTGGCAGGACGGCAGCCATGGTGACAGGGGGGAGGTCAGGCAGGCGAAGGCAGAAAACAATTGAAGCGAAACGGAACGGAACAAAAAGTGAAAAGGCCGATCAAAAATGCAAATTCCCGGCGACGAGTGTTGCGGAGAAAAATGTCTTGGAAAAATAATTTAAAAGGGAATCAAAACAAAGTTATTTCAACTTGATTAACAATATGCAAAATTTATTAATTATGCGAATGTATAAAAATAACAAAGTAATTGAAAAATATGTCAGTGTGATTGAGAGTGGATTTGTCTGGTAGCGTGAACAACCGTTTCACCTTAACCCTTAGGATTGACCCCGCATCCCACATCATCTGATTATCTCTTAATTAGTTGCCGCATCTCGATCCACTTAATTTAATTATTATAAATTTAAAGGCATTATTTTCATGGCAATTTTTAGAAATTTCATGCTAATTATCGCCCTATAAAGATTAGCAATTTTGTGGTACAGAAACGGGAAGAAACTCATCAATAAACAAAATAAGCTGATGATAAGAAACCCAAAAATCACTCTCAAGCTACGTAATGAAATTATGTTCTTTATATGGTAATCGAAGCGGAATACAACGGAATTTATAATGGAATCTTGTCATTTATTTCTTGCACTGTACGTGTGGGCACTGCGTTTGCGGTCGCTGTTGTCAGGCGGGCAATTTGTTTGATTGATTTCTGTGTGTTTTATGGACATTATCCCCGTTTAAATTGCGACAAAGTTGGGCCTCAAATGAGGAAATGCTTACTTTAATTTTATTTATATTTTTTTTACGATTCACCTCCCGCCCCCCTCACGTTCTGTCTCAACAAGCGAGGGAGCGAGCCTCTTGTATGGAGACTTGGGACCCCTCGGGTCATGGGGATCATGTGCATGCATAATGTGAGACGGGTACCGCGCTCCCACCGCCCCTCACCGTAAAGTCAAGCGGAGAGCTTACATAATTTATTGAAATTTATTTGTTGTTGCTGTGCAAATATTCTAAGGAATTTTATGGCCATGAGTGGTTTATGATTTATGCGGAGGAGACTCCAATTATGAGTTTTGATCTTTTTATACCCTTGCAGAGGGTATGCATTGTCTGCAAGAAATTCAAGGTAGCATTGGAAAGATTAAGGGAAGATCGGCTGAACTTTAGTTGAAAGTTTGTAAAGCATCATTTTCCCATTTTCCCATTCATGTGGAGCCTGAATGGGTTAGGCACTCCACTCCTCGAAGTTTCTGCCATTTTGCGTTCAGCGCAAAATTTTTATTTCTTTTTTATGTTGTTGTTGCAAGTAAAGTACCACATTCCACCCAAATTCACAAAAATTGTTTGCATTTTCTTTGTTTTTCTTGTTTTGTTTATTTGCGTTTTTTTTTTTTTTTTTGTGGAAACAAGAAAAAACCAAGAATTTGCATAACAAAGTGAATGCTCGCGGGGCGAGACGATGACAGAGTGAGAGCGCGAGAGAGAGGGGTGAGAGCAATTGGGAGAAACACACAGACGGCAGACGGAGAGACGCTGCTTTTATTTTTGGCATGAAAGTGTGTGAGTGAGAGGCCCAGGTTAATGCACCGCAGATTAAAAACAATTAACATGAGAGCGACTGGGAGACAAGAAGAGTCGGAGGAATGAGAGATAAAGCACGTTCTTACCTTTCTCAGCCGAGGGTTTCTTCGTGGAGGACTCCTGTTGCTGCTCCTGCAATTTACTGCTATCCACAACGACGGCGACGAACAAGCAGCAGCACAACAACAACAACACCCACACATTCGCTGTCGCCGGCATCTTGCCGCACGCTCTTGCTCCTCGCTGCTTCTCCAGTTGCCGGTGCTGCTGTCTTTCCGTTTCTTTTACTATTGCTTTCTCTCCTTTGTGCCTCAAAAAAATACACTAACCACTCGCGCAGCCGGGAATAGCACTTTTCGTTAACCTTTTATTCAGATTTTCATATAACTTTGCATTTTTGTGGTATTGTCGCACGTTTTTGTTTACTTCTTTCGCTCCCTCCTTTTGCCGCGCGGCGAACAACACTCTTAACAAACACACACACGCGCGCGGGGATGAGGGGGAAGGAAACTTCCTCAATTAACTTGATATGTATTTGATTTTACGAATAACACACACTTTTATTTACCTATCACACCTCTCGCACAGGCTTTAATTCGAACCACTATTATTTCACATAGTTTTGGCGTCGGCACTCGAATCTTTGTTTCAATTTTACAACGATGCGCGACGTGACCGCGTTCGACCGAAAGTTTTTTAGTGATGCCAATTAAGCCTTTTCCCACTGTATCTGGCTTTCTAAAAAGCTGGCGTTAATATGTTGGCTATTTCTAGTTTTGTTATGACCCGAAGCGACAGCACTGGACGAGCTCAGTTTATCGTTCTACTGTTGAGTTTTTTTGCGGCTAGATGCAGTGCTGCCAATATAGCCAAGTCTAGCGGATTTTATTTTGCGGCGAGATTGAGAGCGAGAGCGGATTACTCACTTTTGCGTTCCACTCATGAGTTCTTAAGTGATTTTGTTGAATGCGAATTTTAAAAACTTACATTTAAATTGGCAAATAATAATTGTATCAATATTTATAAATAATATTTAACATTAATGTTAAATTTTTTAAATTATTTTGCAAATAACAGTTAAATCCTCTTGCAGGGTGTGCTTGCACCACGAGGTGGAGAGCGGAAACATTTGAAAATTGATTTGGCGCCATTATTGTTTTGGCCATTATATTATGAATAAATATGATACCTTGTTGGGAATGGGACAAATGCTGCTACAATAGTTTCCCCAGTTTGCAATACTCAATCCACCCCACTTATTTTTTGTCCCCAAATCTGCTCAGCTGGCCTTTTTGTCGTTGACGTTGTTTTGATATTTTCAAAATTGTGTTAAAAACCAATTTGGCAGCAAGTACACTCCATCGAGAAAGTAAAAAATTAATTTTACTCCTTATTTGATAGTTAACGTGATTTGCTTGCAAGATGTTTCGCCAATTAAAGGTAAGCGGAAAAGTGCATCGCCGATTGCATAAGAATTGCATTTTCCATCATTTTCTATTTTCTATTTTCGCTTGCAGCTGACGTTGAACATTTCCCGTTGGATTTTTGCGCCCTGGCAGCGCCATGCCGCCACCAGCAGCCAGGAGCCACCCTTCATGGCGCCCATTGGTGATGTGATTGTGGACTACGAGGATCCGGACTACTTGCCGCTGCCGGAGTACCCGGCGCGACCCAACGAGCCGCTGGAGACACGCAAGCAACGGTGAGTGGGGCAAGAACATGGAATAGAAATTACCCAACTCTACCTCCAATTTGTAGTTTAATCTATCAATCGCGTAAGCGTGGCATGCTGGAGAACGATTTGCTTCTGAGCACCTTTGCGGCCAAGCACCTGAAGGACTTCAATGCCGAGCAGACGGCCATCTACGACCAGTTGATCAATGGCGTGAGCAACGATTGGGACATCTACTACTGGGCCACCGAGGTGAAGCCCACGCCCGACGAATACAACACGGAGATCATGCAGCTGCTCAAGGAGCACGTTAAGAATGCCGAGCGGGTCACGCGCCTCCGTCAGCCGGATCTGACTTAAGGGAAGGAGAGCGTCATCCTACACAGGGCAAAACATGCCTACAGCTAGTCCCCAACTTAGTTTTAGTTTTATAAATTATTTATGCAGTTGATTAGCAAACAAAAAATGGAACTTTGATGCTAACACCGCTCGAATACCTTGTAGAGCGTGGGCAGATTGGTGAGCTCGTAGATCTGCTGCCGAAGACGCGCCGGCGGCAGTAAGTACTTCTTCAGCGCCGGAAAGAGCACGTGTTCGGTGTGCCAGTTCTGGTGACCGGACGTCGCGTCCTCCTGCCACTCCAGCTGGGCATAGAAACGGGCTGTCTCGCGACAAAAGGTCTCAAAGCACTTGGCCTCCTGCTCCCAGTCCACCTCGGTGGCCAGGCGCAGCAAGTAGACGGGTAGATGTGTGGCACTCGGCTTGTGTCGGGCCAGCAGGCTGGGCAGCGACTCGATCAGTCCATCCTCGGATATGCGCAGACCGAAATACTCCTTCATTATGGGTGCCTTCTGCTGGAGAATCTGCGCAGCGCTGGAGGCCAGTTCGGCCTTGTCTCCATCCTCGGGCGTCCAGCCAGCCGCCTCGCTGTCCAGCGCAATCATTAGCAACTCCTGCAGCGGCAGCGGTGGCGTTACACTGATCTCGGAGCAGTTCTGGAACTCGTAGACCAATCGCTGGTAGAACAGCTCCTCGCTGAAGGCTCGCGTGTTGCACAGGTAGAGGCGCGTCTCGTGCTGAAACAGGGCCCGACGCTCGTCCACACAGCCCACGTAGACCAGATTTTTGAGGATGTTTCTCAGCTGAATGTTGCACTGTCGCTCCACGCTCTGTCGCATGTCCAGCACACTGCTCAGGCGCACTTCCCGCGCCTTGCGGGCAGCTACCACGCGGAAGCTCTCCTCCTCATGTGAGGCACTCGTTTCGCTTGGCGTCTCCTGGGACGAAATGTCAGTTCCCAAAGAGCTGGAGGACAGCCCAGAGTCGCTCTTCCTGATGGGCGCCAGGAACTTGTCCAGCTTTTGTTCAGTGGAATCGGTGCGAATAAGTTCTTTGGGATAGATGCGCTGCGTCTTGTCCACCGACTGCGTTTCGTCCAGCTCCGTGGCGCCGGGCAGCTTGAGCTGCTTGTAGAACGTTCTGGTAGCATTGCTGCCCAGCAGTTGGGCCTCCACCTGCTCCTTGAGCCGTTCCACGATCTCGTCCTGGTAGAGAAAGTGCACCTCGTGCTTGGTGGGGTGCACGTTCACGTCCAGATTCTGCGGCGGCAGCCTCAGGCTCATGTACACAAAGGGATGATGGCCGCGCGGCAGGTAAGTGGCGTAAACAGCATCCACGGCACACTTGAGAGCTGCAAGAGAGAGGGGAATCAAATGAGGACTCAGGCCAGAAGATGCGTCTCCACCCACCTGGCGACTCCACGAGCCGCTGATTGATGAACAGCAGCATCTGGCTGCGCTTTGCCGAGTAATTGACTTGGGTGAGCAGACACTCCACCTCGAACTTGTACACCTCATCCTGGTGGCTGAAGTGCAGCAGCTCCTTGGAGATGCCAGCGCCATAGATGATGCGAATGTTCTCCTCGCGCGAACTGGCCACGGACGTCTTCAGTGAGGGCTGCGCCTCGCCCTGTTTGCGCAGGGTGAAGCCCACCTGGGGATTGTGCACCGCATACTTGGCCAAAACGTCGGAGAGCTTCTGGAACTCATCCGTGGGCGACTTGAGCGCCTGCCGCCGTTGCGGCATGTTGTAGAACAGATCCTCGATGGTGATGATGGTGCCCTGATTGCCGGCACACGGTTTGGCCTGGCCCTGCAGCCGGCCATCGGCGTAGGTGGCCTTGTAGCCGCAGCGCTCCTGTGCCGTCTTGGTTTGAATTGTTAGGTGAGCCACATGACTGATGCTCGCCAGCGCCTCGCCGCGAAAGCCGAATGTGGCTATCTGCGAGAGATCCTCGAATTTCGCAAGCTTCGAGGTGGTGAAGCGTTCGCAGACTATTTCCAAGTCCTCTCTGCGTATGCCCGTGCCGTTGTCCTGGATCTGCATCAGCTTCAGGCCACCGGACTTGACGTGCACCTGAATGTGGCTCGATTTGGCGTCCAAACTATTCTCCAGCAGCTCCTTCAGCGCGTTGGCCGGTCGCTGGATGATTTCGCCTGCGGCAATGCGATTGACCACCACCTCGTCCAGCTTCCGGATGACGCCCGGCTCCAGATCCACTTGCATGACTATACAGATCTCTACATGCAGTGTCCATGCAGTAAGCAATTAACAAGCGACTTTGTTTATAAATAAAATCGTGGCGGGAAGTGCTATGTGCAATGCAAATAGTGTTCTATAACTCCCAGAAAAATACCATTAAATACCATTTATTCAGTGCTGTGAAGCTCTCAAAGCTCACCTGCGGCATGATACTTACTTAAATTCAATTTTTCAAAACATTTGTTTATTATTTTCATTATTAACGCATTTAAAATTATCAACTTCATATAACACTTGGTTGGTTTCGTAATTCTTAACCTACAAACTATTTTGATTAAAGAGAACACAAGCGAAACACGCTAATTCCATGAGGATCAACATTATTTGTACTTTGCAAAGCAAAAAGCGTTTCGGGGAATATAACTACAAACCGAACCACTTGCATTTGAGGCAGACGAATACTGAGATGCCCAGTATAATGGTTGTGTACTTGAAGTAGCGCCGCACCGTTGTGCGCTTCCGCTCGGCCAGCACCTCATCGTAGTCAATGTGCAGCGGATTCTTTGCCGGACTGAAAGAACCAAGCTGTGGGCAAAGCAAAGCAAAGATTAGTGGCCGAATTTAGGAACTCCTTCGCACAGCTCACGCTTACATATTTGACAGTCTTGGTTAGGTCATCGACAGATTTGCGATATGCCTTGATGTTCGTCTTGAGGTTGGCCAATTGCATCGACGAGGTTTGGCCCAGCTTCCCTGCATTGAGGTTCTTCTTCACAAAGTCAAGGGAAGCCTGAACGATGACCAACTGTTGCATATGATTGGCAGCGATCATCAGAATCTCATAGAAGCTAAAAGATGAAGGTATTCATTTCAGTATTGAGAGGAAATCGAAGCACCTACTTGTCCATTCCATCCTTCTTCACTCGAGCGATTGACTTGTTGGACCAATGGTGCAAATGAAAGCTGCAAAGGAATGACAAAAATTAGTTAAAATTACATAAGAAATATGCACTCCACTCACTCCAGGATGCCCTTCATGATCTTGTTGCGATGCACGGGAAATGGAATGCCCACTTCCTTGAGCGCCTGATCGTCCATCACCAGGAATTCGGCAAGGGAAGTGCGTGAAATGGCAAAATGCTGCAGCTGGTCCTGCATATTGATGGATTGCAGGATGCTGTTCAGCTCCTGAAAGTACTCCGGACAGTCGGCCTTCAGGAAGATGCGTGGAATGTGGTCCCGCAGCGTGTGGTAGCCTAGGAAGTGCGATGGCACCGAGTACGTTTCCACAGGCCGTGGCAGCAGCTCCAGCAGGTCATAGTAGCCATGCGACTCGGCCGCCTGGGTGGGTGTGTAGCCCTTGCCGTTGGGTATCGTGGCATTGACACCCGCCTTCACAAGCAGCTTCACAATGTCCGCGTGGTTCTTCTCGATGGCATGGAAGAGCGCGGTGCAGCCATGATTGTCCACGGCGTTCAAGCTGGCACCCTTGATCATCAGGCGGACAACGTTGGTGTAGCCGTTGCGGCAGGCGAGCATGAACGGAGTCATGCCGAATTTGTTCGAGACATTGATGACTGCACCGTGGCGAAGCAGCAGGCGGACCAACTTCTCCACCAAGTACGGATCGTTCTTCGAGCAGTCGCACGCCTCCATCAATGGCATCTGAGATTCCACCTGCTTGTTGACGCCAGCCGAGCGCTGCTCAATCAGGTACACGGCCAAGTCGTAGTGGCCCGCACGGCAGGCGTACATCAACAGCGTCGGCCCGTCACGGAGCGAGTCGTTCACATTGAACCGCAGGGAATCCATTTCCCTGATCACTGTCTCCATATCCCCATCCAGCACGGCATCGTAGAGCTTCTGATCCGGGGCTACAAAATGCTGAGGCTTCTTTGGGCGCTTGACCTGCACAACAAAAACATTAAAACCCCTCGTGGCCACAACAATTTGTGCAAATTACCGTATCCGAAAAGTAGAAGCCATCGTAGCTGCTGTCCGAGTCCGAATCGGAAGCCGGGGGACCATACGCCAAGCTCATCTCGTTGTTTTTTGCAAAATTAAATGCGAATTTATTAAAATAACGAAAAACAAACAACAAAACCGCACAAAATTGGCAAACAAGTGTTGGTCAGCGAGAAATGTTTGAGCTTCAATCGGTAATCGAGAAGCAAGCGTCCTATCGATAATTAAGTTCAAATCTTCAACCGCCTATGTGAATCAAATGTTTTATTATTTTACAAGTTTTAGGGCCCGACATTGCATACGACTATTTCTTCTTATCCTTCTTTTGAAAGCGAGGTCCGCCAAAGCTCTTGCCCTTGTTGAACTTGTTTTTGCCCGCCTTATTCGTCAGCTTCACGCTGCTGACCTTCTTCTTGGCCGCAATCTTTGTCATCTTCTTGTGGCGATTGGCCTCGGATCTGGTTTGGCAGGGAGACAATTGTTAATGGTATGATCTTGAAATGCAATTGTATATGTGCTTACCTCAATCGCAATGCTCCGCCCCGGCTGACATCTGTCAAATCATTGGTGAATGCCGATTGTGGTCCGCGTCTCTTGGGTTTGCCGCCCGCCGCATTGGCTCCGTATTTGGGAGGCTCGGTGGCTGCACCCAGCTTGCCAGGGCGCTTCCGGAGCTTGGAAATTTTCGCGCGCACCAACGATACCTTCTCGACCTCTTTCATGGCCCGCTCCTTGGCCATCTGCTCGGGCGTCTTCTTTCTCGGCTCCTCCTTCTTCTTCTTGTGTCGCTTGGCATCCAGCTCCTTGACTGGTGGTCCATCCTCACCATCGCCGCCGTATTCGGGCCGCTTGCGCTTGCCACCGTTCTGACCCTGGCCCTTGCCTCCCCTGCCGCCTGGTGCCTTACCCTCGTCACTTGGGGTCAGTGCGAGTCGATTCTTTTCATCCTCACGCTGCTGTCTCGTCTGGAACCAGTCACGCTTGCCGTTGGTCTGGCCCAAGAGCTTACGCTCCGTTTTGGACAGTTGCTGCTCTGTCTTTGCCAGCTGTCGCTCGGCCTGCTCCTCGCCGAGAATGTTTTCTGCATGGAATCAACGATTAGGTCCAAGGGTAAAGCAGTAAATCGATTTTTATACTCACGAATCTCTGGCTCCAGGGCGGTCAGCTTGTTGCGATACTTCTCAATAATCTCCGGTGGGATAATGCGATTCTTGATGGTGCTCTCGGCATTCTTGATAATGTCCTTGACAATCTTGCGCTCCTTTTCGCCAGCGAGCGACACGGAGATACCTGCACGTCCCGCACGCGCTGTACGACCCACGCGATGGATGTAATGCTCTGTCGTAATGGGCATCACAAAGTTAATGACAGTCTTCACACCCACGATGTCCAGACCACGAGCAGCCACATCTGTGGCGATCAGGATATCGATCTGCTCCTCCTTGAACTTCTTGAGCGATTCCAAACGCTGTTGCTGGGTCAGATTGCCGTGCAGTTCGCCCGCTCTAACGCCCAGCAGACCCAACAGGATGTGCAGGCGATGGGCCTGCTTCTTGGTCTGCACAAACACCATGCAATGGTCGTGGAATGTGCGACAAATCAAGCTGGCCAGAATGGGCTCGCGGTCTCCCTCCTTGTCCTCGCGTATGCGTATGAATTCCTGACGCAGATTGAAGGCCACCTGTTGGTTGTTGTTCACAAACACCTTGACGGGCTTGTCCAGCGAGACGGCTGCCAGATCCTTGACCTGCTCGCTCATCGTGGCCGAAAAGAGCATGGTCTGGCGTGTCTTGCAGCAGGAATTGATGATCTCCTTCATTTGCTCTGCGAAATATTCGTCCAGCATGCGGTCAGCTTCGTCCAGAATGAGAACCTGCAAGGAAAACACCAGAAAGGATTAGATGTGGCATACAATTGGGGAACTTTCATTTAATTTTCTCTAATCAGCTTGCATCTGCCGCGCAGTTGCAAGTACCAGGGCTATCCGCTTTGCCCAGCGATGAGCTCAGAGCGCAAGGATGGAGATTCATCATGGTAAAGAGGGATTAACTATCAAATATCTGGGGTTAACTCACCTCAATGGAGTCCAGCGTAAAGCTGGGCGTGTTTTTGATGTGATCGATAAGACGTCCAGGAGTGGCTATCACAATATCTGGATTCTGGCGCAGCACAGCCTCCTGGGCCTTCACATCCAGGCCACCAATGGCCAAGCCCACATCAATGCTTGTGAATTGGCAGAGCTGTTTCGTCACCTGATAGACCTGGGCACCCAGCTCACGGGTGGGCACCAGCACCAGGACACGGGTGATGGCCTTGTTGTTGAGCGGACGATACAGCAGACGCTCCAGTGTGGGCAGCATATAGGCAGCCGTCTTGCCTGTACCAGTGGCCGCACAGCCACAAATGTCCCTGCCCAGGAGGGCAATCGGTATCGTCGAGGACTGAATGGGCGTGGGATAGATGTATCCCAGTACGCCGATGGATCGCATAAGGGGACGCGACAGATTCATTTGATAGAAGGAGGTGACTTGCTCGTTGCCCTCCACAGTGTCGTCGAATTGCATTTTCTCGCCCTCATCCTCTTCTTCCTCCTTGGCCTTCTTCTTCTTCTTGTTCTTGGTTTGCTTCTTCTCACGCAAACGCAGATTATCGTGCTGCAGCTCATCCTCCGAAAGGTCTATCTCATCCTCGTCACTCTGCTCGGCGGCCACCACTTCGGCTCCGCCGCGCTTCTGCAGGCGGGCAGCAATCTTGTCATCGGTCTTTGTGCGTGCCTTTCGCTTGACATACTTCATCAGATCGTCCCAGGTGTCCTTGTTGTACTCCTTGACGGAGCCCACAAACTCGAAGCCCTTCTCGAACTCAGTTACCTTCTTGTGTCGCAGCTTTGTGGGTTGATACTGTGCAGTCGCCGCCGGGTGAGAGAAGTGTGTCTTAATTTTCATTCACAGCATAAAATATTTCATGTTTTCTCACCTCCACTTCGGCATCAGAGTCCTCGGATAGATTCTCCACCTCGGCATCATCCTCGATGGTGCCAATTAAGTCTAGATTCTTGGTTGCACCCATTTTTCAACTTAATTATTTTAAAATTCCAGCGCGTGTTTATAAATTTACAACGCACGTGTGGCACAACCAGCCCTGGAACGGTCTATCGATATCAGTCTGAAAAACCGATATCACTTGCTGTCTCAGTTACCAATTTCCTTTGGTTTTAACTGTTCATATTAATCTTTTCATTTGTTAGTAGAAAAGCAAACAAATAAAAGGTCTTGAATATGGAATTTATTTTATCTGGAATTTTTTATAATTCACTCGATATATTGCATCGATGTTTCTTGCTGCCCTGGCGCTCAGCTGTTTACCATTTGTTATGAAATTTTGGTTAAATTGCCGAAAAGAAAATGCTGCGTTTGCTAACAAAAACCAGATTCGCAAGGTGAGCATTAACATACCTAAAACCACAAAGGATTCAGACTAATAATAATTGTGTTTCAGGCCGTTGGCCCCGGCGTCTAGTGTTTCTGCCGGCTGTCCGCGTTTTTATGCCCAGAAGGTGACCAATGAAGACCAGAAGCAGGAGGAGGGAGCGATCAGCAATGAGCCCATACAGTTCTTTGGCAGTCAGGCGGCCACCTGGCGAGCACGGGAGACACGCAGTGGTGGTAGCGATGAATCCCTATGGTACCAGCCCTACGTGATCTCAGCCAGCCTGGCCATATTTCTTCTGTATTTCTGCTGCCTGCGCGAGGAGAGCGACATTGATCAGCGGCTGGAGGGAAACCTGTACGACCATGTGAGCGGCCTGGAGGAGGTGCAGCTGACAGTCAACTACAGGTACAACAAGGAGCACGGGCTGGACACCAAAGAGCAAGAGAAGCGTCTCATCGAAATAGGCGTAGATATGAAGCAACTGGATGCCAAATTGGCCGCCCAATAGTCTTAAGATTTGTTCATTGTGTTTTTCATTTCGTTAAGTAAGAAAGATTATTAAATTGGTAACATTTATAGCGGTTATTGTCGAAGTGTGCTGGTAATTCATTGATTTCTTTGTTCTTCCACAACTCATATCCAACCTGTTGGGCAAATTGTTATATGCTTTGTAGCAAATATAGCAAATGTTATACAATTTAATTAACAAAAGAAAAAGAAGATTGAATTTTGTATTCCGATTTTGGCCGCGGCATATACATACGATAGGACTTGTTGCCTATCGATAGCGATACATTCTTTCCAACATGGACCGGCGCGAGGATGCTCTTCGGCAGGTTTGTGGCTATTTTCATATATAAATAGGGACATAGATTACAAAATTTGTTGGTTCAGGCCATCGTGGACAATGCCAAAGAAACGGAGCGTTGGCAGGCATACAAGAGCGACAATGAGGGCGCCATTCGTAATTTGGAAATGTTCGCCAAGAGTCTCAGCGTCGAGGTTATGGTGCCCATTGGCAGGAAGGCTCTGATGCCGGGCCAGCTCATACACACAAACGAGCTTATGGTGAGCCACAGCGAAGACTACTTCTCGGCCTGTTCCGCTCACAAGGCCAAGGAAATATGCCAACATCGGCTTCGGGTGGCGGAAGAGCGCTTGAAAAAGCTGGAGACGGAAGCTAATCTGTGGCAGTAAGTTGTGGCTACTAAATGCTTTTGGCAGAGCTCAATATTTAAGATCGTATTTCAGAAACAAATTGGAGGAGCCACTGGCGAAGGGCGCTGTGGCGGAGTCCGGGCAGTTAGATATTATTGAGGACTACAACGAGGAGGCTGACATCAAGTGGAGGGAGCAGCACAAGGAAAGTGTGCGCAGGATGAAGCAAGTGGAGCGTGAGGAACGTGAGGCAGCACTCAGAAACGGCGATGATAAGCTACACAAATTAGAAGTGCTGGAAATAATGGAGGAAATGGGTCTGGATCCCGACAGTGCAGATCCGGAGATGATTGAAGAGCTGCTGAAGGAGATTCAAGAAAAACCTGTCACGAAAGCAGAACCAAGTCATTTGAAACTAACTGAGGAGGAGGAGTCCCTAATTCGGAGCACAGACCAACAAGTGGTGCATCAGTTAATGTCCGGCGAAATAACGCAACCTTCGTCGAAGAAACGTATAGGAAGAGCATCAACTAAAAGTGATAAGGACACCAAGAGTGTGAACCAAGCAGAAATTCAGACTGTTAAAGCTAAAGCCCAAGAGGAAAAGTCGCAAACCTCTACCGAAAATACATCCTTGTTGCCCACTGTTGAGTGTAAAGATGAAGTTGAAAGTGTAGAAGATGAACCTGTAGACCAGGAAGAGGAGGTACAAACCATACGAAATCAAATGTCGTTGTTGCCCAGCGAAGAGCGTGAACCATTCCTGAGGTCACAGCTGGAGGTGCTAAAAGCAAAAATGCGCAAAATACAAAAAGTTCAATTTATAAGCGAAGAGCTGACGCATTTGATGAATGTGGTTATCACGCTGGAAGACGATTTGCAGGAGCTAATGTTTGAGAACGAACTGGTGGCAGATAGCGACGAGGAGCAGGCCTCTGTGGATGATGAAGCGCCTGAGGTGGCACCACAGGCGGTCCCACAAAAACGGCGCATTTCCTTTGCTCTATCAGAGGAGAAGTTGGAGTTCCGCACCCACGAACCCGTCTCCGAAATGATGCCAAAGGCGCAACAGAGGGCCCGAGAAGTCATATCGCTAGACGAACCACTGCCTAAGACAGTGACTGCTGTGCCTGCAGAGAAAGTTAGTAACAAGAGCTCGGATATATTGAAGAAGGTGCAGCAGAACCTCGAATATGTCCAGGAGAATCAGAGTGCCCAGGACTTCGATTTGCTTAATCGCATACTGGAGGAGTCAACTAGACGCATCAACACCTTACACATAAGCTTCAAACATTCCGATGCGGTGCCTGCTGCGATGCCCGTGTGCGGGGAAGGAACGCCTGGTACGCCTGCGGATTTCTACGACCAGTACAAGAAAGCAGTGCCAAAGGCACAGCCACATTTTCCCATATACGTGAACGGATTCGAGGGCGAGCAGGAACTAAAAGTGCCCATACTGAAGGAGGCAGCGCGAGAGGAGGCCTACGAGGATCCTCGAACTCAGGTAAGACACAAGCCATAAACCAGTTTGGTTGGCAAACCTAAGAGCATTTTGTTTTCCAGTTTTCCAAGCCAGATGCAGCTGTTGCTGCCCCTTTGTCAAAGTCAATCCTGCGTAATAAGTCCGCTGTTGAGCTCGAGTCCCACATTGAAACAAAACAAACGAAGAAGTCAAAGAAGGGCAAAGGCAACAGACAGCCGAAGAAGGAGCGCACCCTAGACGATGATCTGCGTGACATGAGTGCCTATCAGAAGGTGATGCATGATCTGGTGGAGACCAAGGAGCCAACGGCGCCAGACCCTCTTCCCAAGGAGAACTACATAGACGCTCACACACCGAAGAAGCGCGTCAGCCGCTTCAAGCAGCAGCGATCGTCGCAGCTCAACAAAACGTAGCAGAATCGATCGCCTCTTCGAATTACTTTGTATTTGTATATTTGTTCAAGTTTAATGTGGTGGATCTATTACAAAACACAACGAAAAACAATAAACAACTACTGGTGTGGTGTACATATAAGTTTAAATATTTAAAATAAACACTAGACGCTAGCTAGTCCGTTTCAACGGAATTTATTTTGTAAAACATTTACAGCATATCAATTTACATTAGATTAGAGTTAAGATTTAAGTCGTGAGATGTTTTTTGATTACAATTTCAATGCGTGACGATGAGGGGTAGGGCTGGGGCTGGAGTGTTTGTTTTTTGTTTTTTAAAAGGAGCGTATCTCAGCGAATTGCTTAAAACTATTTTAAGTTAACTACTACATACAGATCCTATACATAGGCGGTATACCTAGATATTCTACATCAATATGTAACTGATAGCTGATTTTCGATTGCGCATTTGTTTTACTGCTGCTGCTGCTGTTGTTGTTGTTAATTTGTAGGTTGGTTTCCGTCTTGGAAAGCCTCGCAGACATTCTTAATGACAAATAGTTAATCTTCTAGCCCCAGAAATTCCCGCTCCAGAGCGGCTCCCATCATATTCCATTCGCCATCATCCTCATCCTCCTGGTTGTTTTCACTGTTCGAATCCGAACCAATTTCCAAATCCGACGGCAGCTCCTCACCTGCAAGAAATCACGAATTTAATGATTAGTACATTATATTTCAAGGGCTCCCTCCCTCCTCCTACCTCGTCGAAATTTGGCGCTAGGAATCTCATCGTCATCTTCCTCTTCGTCTTCGTTATTGTCATCGCGCTCGCGTTCATCCTCATCAAATTCAGCAAGACTCGGCGCTCCCATCATCACATCGCCAGTGCGCATAAAGAAATCGTGGGCCCGATTCGAGTTCTCATCTTCACGCTTGCGCTTAAGCAGTTTCTTGTCCATGGGTGGATTTTCTAGGATGCAAAATTCGGAACATTCAAAAAAAGTACTCAAGATGTGTATGTTGTTGGCTTACCAAAGTTGACGGGTCCCTCGTCACTGGACGAGTCAGACTCGAAGAACGTATCGTAGTCTTTGTTCATGGAGTCAATTTCCTCGTTTGTGAGGACCAGCAGGGGATTGAGGGTTTCCCGAAAGTTACCACTCTGCTCCTCCTGCTGCTTACTGCTTGATGGCGATATCTCCGATCGTTCGCTGTAGTTCACCACATGCTCGGGACTGTGGCAATGTGCGGGCGGCTGTCGGCCTTTATTGCGCACTTTGCGGTCCAACGGGAATAGCTTCTCCTCCACATGCTCCCAACGCTCGGCGCAGGTCCACAGCCAATTGGCATTGACCACACGGATGTTGACCTCCTTTTTGGCGGCATTTACCTTGTAGGTGCCCGCATTGACTGCCACCAGATGTGTGCTCTCCTTATTAATGTTCGGCTGCACCTCGGCACCCAGACTCTTGGCTATGAAGTAGGCGCGAGACTGCTCCAGTCTCATTTGCGTTGGCACTAGGCCAGAAAACACAAGATTCTTGCCGCGCAGAACTTCGCAACGAATTTTAGGCACAATTATCTTCAAGTCTGGAATCTCCATGGTCTCGTCGTAGATCGCATAGAAGCGCTTGTGTATGTTGCGCAATATGACCTCCAAGTAGAGTAGGTAGTCATCTGGGTCCTCAATCTCAATGAGTTTTCCCTCGTCGTGGTTGACTTTGACGATTGGAATCTTTGACGTAGTGGCGGCATCTTCCCCGCCAACTTGGTTCTGATTATCCACTGGACTAGTTGATGACTCCACCAGATCGTTGTTTTTTTCGGTCGTTTCGACAGCAGTTGTCTTCGAGTCAATCTCCATCAATCTGCCATCAATCTTAAGCGCACTTGTGCTATCCTTAGAGTTCTCCGATGTTACATCATCCACGACTATGTCTTCGCTATCGCTGGCCGGTTTGTGTGGGTCCGGCGTGCCAGTTGAATTATTATCTACAAGCGTATCTGCATCCGCATCTGCATCCACATCCACATCCACATCCGTAACCTTGCCATTCACCTTGTCCGACAACTCTTTTGACTCTGTGACAATCGAGGCATCTGTCACCTCTGCATCCTTTGGATCGCTCTCATGCCCGAGTACGTCAACGGGTTCTTCATTGCCGTCCTCGTCTTTGCTTGTGCTGGACACCGTGTTGTCGCCTTTATCGGGGTCTTCAGTTTTTATTTCACTCTCCACATCTACCTTATCTTTTTCCTCTTCTTTCTCTGCCATATCTAAAAAAAAATAAACACTGTAATGACACTGCTTGTGGTTTGCTTTCGGGATGCGGTACTAACCTTTGAAGTCGACACCTTCGCCATCCAACTCGTGCTTGGACAGTCCCGGCGGGGCATTGATGTCGCCGGTGTGTTGGAAGAAATGGTAGGGCTTGACTTGTATCAAATTGGATGCCATATTCCAGACATCCTCTCGATCGTCAATGATGCACACCATCGAATCACCATTCGGAAATAAAGCCCTGCAATAATTTCCATTAAAAGATTGCCCACAAAACACATTCCCAAGTTTCTACTTACTTCAAGTTGTCCGTCTTGCTGGTGGCATTGAAGCATTCATCGCGTGACAGTATGCGATGCGAGAAGAACTTGCCCTGCGGGTCGAGCAGTTGAGCAATCATGTGTGCATAGTTACGGGCGCCGAATGTGCAGATGTGCAGCTCGTACAGCTGGGACATGCGCTCTAGGAACTCGGCTGTGCCGGGGCGCAGTCGCGTGTGGTACCAAGGTGACTGTGGGCCATATAGCTGAAAGTGGTAGATCCCCTTGATGTTCTCCGGAACGGTGTCGTTGGTGGTATGGATGACCGTCTGGTCGAGATCAACGAGTAGCACAAGCTTGCGGTCGGCCAGCAGGCGTCGTGTGTCGTCATGGCCCAGCTTCTGGGCCAGTTTTTGTGTGACTTTGAGGTCCGGCATGGTGTGCACCATCGGCACTGAGGCCTCAGAGGTTTGGCCCTTTTGACAAGGAGAGCAGAGGGGAAAACGATCAAGTTAGTTTGTGTCACTTGACAATGGGAAAAATGTTTGTTTTTTATTGACACTTACATTGTCATCTTTTCGTAAATCGGCACCGCAGTCCGCGCACATATCCTTGATGACGGTTGTGTGTATGCATTCGGACAACTCCATAATCGCATCCCTGGAAGAGCAAATAAAAACAAATCCACGCTCAAAATGTGTGTATACCCCCATCTGTGCGGCGTTGTGCACAAATGCATTCCACCCATAACAACCCCAACCCCCACCCCAAACCCAGCACAGCTCCAACACCACAGGCAGAGTGTGTGGGGCAAAACTCACCCCTTCACAACCATTTCGCCGTCTTTGCGAAGCCGCTTTTTGACAACTCCGGCACGATTTGACTTGTATTTGTGGACTGTAATGTTGCCGGCCTTTGACGGCTTGCCATCGTCTCCAACTTCCTGGTAGAGAAACAGGATTTGTGCTGCCGACACGAATTGTCCTTCGCGTACGCGCCATTTATTGATTCGTATGCGTGTCTCTGTATCACCAAGTGCTGCATTTACAACAATGCCTTTCGCGCTTCCGCCGCCGCCACTGATACCGCCACCGCCGCCTCCATCATCGCCATCCTTGCTGCTGCTGCCTGCAATCCGGCTGGAATGCGCAGTTTCCTCCTGGCCATGCTTCTCCATCTTGTATTTACAATGTTTTTAATACAAATATAATCAAGTTTGTTCAAATCTCTATGCCTTGTTATGTTTTTACCTTGCAAAACATCAGGTATCATCGATGTACTTCCACCTCTAGCAGTCCCTCAAATGTCGGTATATTTAGTACATTCTTTGGTATACTACGGTATATTTATTAGCGTTAAGTGGGGTATTAATCAGCGGTCACACTGATTGGCACGCAAACGGCGCTAAAATTATTCACGTTCTCAGAAAAACACGCTTTTGTATTTGTTTATTAAATAGGTAGCGTGCAGAATGAGTGAAACAGATTCTAGAGAGGATCTGAAACGCAGCGCACCAGCGGAGGAAGATGAGGCGACTGCAGAAACAGCAGAAGAGAACGATGCCGATGGTGAGGACTCAGGCTGGATTGGGCCAATGCCTTCGGAACAAACTGCTGTGCCGGCCAAGAAAAAGAAAGGTAAATACACATTGTACAGTCTATCCGTTTGATGGCTTCTTACTGGTATGGTTTTGCTTTGTGCAGTGCTTCCGTACGAACACATCTTCCTGGAGAACCTGCCCAACGCCGAGAGCTATGAAAGGAGCTACATGCACAGGGACGTGATCTCGCATTTAGTGTGCACCAAGACGGATTTTGTGGTCACCGCCAGCTTGGATGGGCACATCAAGTTCTGGAAGAAGGGAGAGCTGGGCATCGAGTTCGTAAAGCACTTTAGAAGTCATTTGGGTACGTGGATGAGGAGTCTCATTTGGCATTTATTTTCATGACATTCGATCACTTCCAGTTCCAATCAAGTCGTTGTCTACAAATGCTAGTGGCACATTGCTCTGCTCTGCGGCGACCGATCAAACAGCCAAGGTATTCGACGTGGTGAACTTTGACATGATTAATATCATCCGACTGGGCTACACACCCCAATGTACCGAATGGATAAGCGCTCCCGGGGATGCCGTCCAGGGACTGGCCATGTAAGTTGGTAAACTAAATGCTCACTGGAGAAACTATATTGATTATGTATCTTATTTGCAGCACGGACTCTGAGAGCAACTTTATACACATTTACGATGGCCAGAGTGGGGGTCAAGTGCTTCACACCTTGGAGAATATGCACGCGGCCCCTGTGGTCGCCATGTGCTTCAATGTGGCAATGGAGACGGTCATATCGGTGGATCGTAGGGGCATATTGGAGTACTGGCAAACCCCAAAGTACGATTACAGATTTCCCCAAAAGCTGGTGAATTTCGACTCCAAACTGGACACCAGCCTCTTTGAGTTTGCCAAACAAAAGACCCAAGTCACCGGTCTGGCAGCCTCCCCGGACGGCAAGCGTTTCGCTGCCATCTCCACAGATCGCAAGGTGCGCGTATTTCAGTTCAACACGGGAAAGATGATCAGAGTGTTTGACGAGGCGCTCTCCACGTACACGCAACTGCAGCAGACGCCGCACGCATTGCCGAACATGGAGTTTGGCCGAAGGTACGTACATAAAAATAGAATGTGTGATTTATTAAACAGCATTGCTTAATGCACTCTTTGTAGAATGGCTGCCGAACGCGACCTGGAGAAGACGGCACAAAATACGACACTTAACATTCTCTTCGATAGTACTGGAAACTTTTTGCTGTATCCAACCATGCTGGGCATAAAGGTGATAAATGTGGTAACGAATCGCTGCGTCACAATTCTCGGCAAGACGGACAACATACGTCCCTTGCAGGTGGCCCTGTTCCAAGGCAGGGTAAAGCGACAGAAGGCTGCAATAACGCTCGAACAGGAGGCGAGCGAGAATCCAGCGTTGCACAACTACTTTAATGATCCAACCGCCTTTTGCACCGGCTACAAGTTAGTTTCCGTTTACCTTAGAGCCTGTTCCATTTAACTAACACGTTTGCTTATGCGTTTGTTAGGAAAAATCGCTTTTACTTGTACAGTCGAAGGCTGCCCTCAGATCTCCAGGATGTTGATCGTGATATATTCAATGAGAAGCCATCGAAAGAAGACATTATTGCAGTGCCCGAGGCCACAGGTATTCAGATATTTCTAATCTACTTAGTTAATTATTTACTAACCGTCGTTGTTTTTCTCCTAACGCTAACGCTAACAATCTTTCAAGACGAAGGTTACTTTTACCTCTATGTTTGCCCATTCAAGATCTATATCATTGAAACTGTTTAATCATTTTAGTCGTGCAACGTATCTACGAGAACGTGGTGCTACACACCACCAAGGGGGACGTGCACATAAAGCTGTTCTTCAAGGAGGTGCCAAAGACAATCGAAAACTTTTGTGTTCATGCGAAAAATGGGTAAGTCCTAGAATGTCTTCTCAGCTTGCTGTTTTCTTTTAAACGGTATTTATTATCCAGGTACTACAACGGGCACATATTCCATCGTGTCATCAAGGGATTCATGGTGCAAACGGGTGATCCGACGGGCACTGGAACTGGCGGTAAGTCAATCTGGGGACACGATTTCAAGGATGAGTTCGTACCAAGCCTAAAGCATGATCGCCCCTATACGGTTAGTATGGCTAACGCTGGCCCCAACACAAATGGTAGCCAATTCTTTATAACAGTCCTGCCAACTGTAAGTATTTCAACACTTTGTCCAACTAGTTAGTTGACTCTATTTTTAAAACCATTACTCTTTACAGCCTTGGCTGGACAACAAGCACACTGTTTTTGGTCGCGTTTATCGTGGCATGGAAGTCGTACTCAATATTTGCAACACAAAAGCGAATCCCAAGACGGACAAACCGTACGATGACATTAAAATAATATCAATACACTTGAGTAATTAAGCAGAATTGTAAATAATAAATATGTGTGAGTGTTTGTACCTCAAAATTCCTATCTCACCTTCAGCCCATGCGGAAGATCTTTACAGTGTTTAGCCGAAAATATTATGAGGATGATAGTAATGATAGTGATAGTATGCATCAGTGGAGATTTCAACTACAAATACAACTATTTAATGAGCTGTTGTCATTGAGTCCATATTTTTGACCATAAAACAAACCAAAATAGTGTGAGTTTGAGTTAGGCCAGCCAAAGCTCAACATGTCCGTTAAGAACTTATTTCAGCTCATGTTGATGCTGTATTTTATCACCGAAGTATGTATAAATTGATTCCATTTGATATTAATCCTATAAGTATTTACAAATTCTCAAGGTCACTTCCAAATTTGAGTTTACCAACATCAAATATACTTGTGTGGATAAGGAATACTGCAGAGTAGACTATTGCTATCTGAAGTCGATAAATAGAACCTACAAATATATGTCAGTGCGATTGACTTTATTTAAACCAATTTACAATGTCAAGGTACGTTCTGGACACCAACTCTTGATGGTATGTGGATTGAAAGTATAAATATTTTCAGTTAAACTATGCATTTTACAAGCGATTGAGTGGATACAAGCCTTTCCTCTACAATTACACTGTTGATGGCTGCAAATTCTTTAAGAATCGTAGGCGTATCTCCGTCGATAATTACGTTTTTAGTCTTCTTGGGACGAACCACAATCTAAACCATACATGTCCCTACATTGTAAGTTGTTTATCCCATTCGAGCAGATGGAAAATTTCGAATAATTTTTTATGTGCAGGGTGAACTTTATGTGGATAAGTTGTCCATTAGCCTGGTAAACAATCGTTTAACAGCGGTTCTGCCCTTTCCGGAAGGTGATTACCTCTTGCAGACACACGCATTTGTTGATGGCATCATTAGATCTGTGTTTCAGGTCTATGGCACTCTTTCGAAGTCGTATTATTAACTCTGTAAAATGCCGCAAGCTAATTAAACTCGGATGCTTTCCCATGCATGTTCATAAATAGTTGTTTAGTGTACTTTAGGTGTACTTCTGTGAAAATAAGAAAAGGATCTACTATATACATATAAACATTAAATGCATCATATACATACATACATATGTATGTACTTATACCAAAATGGTATCATATACTTAACTTGCTTTCACTGCATGCTTTTCCCATAAGGCTATCCTGTCTTGGCAGCTACGCCACTCAGCAAAGTTTAATGTCATACGGCCATACGAGTATGAAATACCAACAAAATATATTTTTCCTCCGTGGTATATCTGGTATTTAAGAGCCATCAAAATAATCCACACTGACCAGCTGTTTTTACATTATCTTTTCTTTTCCTTTTGTTCATAAATACAGCTGGAATTTACATATAAAAGTAATGCAATTAGATAGAGATTGCTACCAATTTTACTGGCGCCTGTTGTCGACTTTTTATATACTATAAGAACAAAGTGCAACGAATACTATTAGTTCAGGTAAATATTACTGTATAAATCTTATTGTGAATGATGCGGGTGTACTGTTAGAAATTTTGTTTATGGCCGAAGCAAAACAAAGAAAAACCAAAGTTGCGAGTATATTTATACGGTATTGGTATATTTATATACGTAAAGGAATAGCTTTAAGCTGTGCTCCAGATTCCTAGCCTGGTTTCTGTGTCAAGTCAGCTAATTAAATGTATATATGAACATGGTAAATGTATTAATAAGTCGGCATAAACACCTAGTATGATGGCGACTAATTAAATTCTTATCGGCGTAAGCATAATTGCCTATTTATACGCCTTTGAATTAGTCACACACTGAGCTTTTCCATGTCTTTTTGGCATTGTTCTGATTTTGCACTATCAATCAAAGATTAGCGCATTTTCAGCGGTTTTATCAATTAGAACCACTGTTGTGGTGTTGTTATAGCAGATAATAAAATGAGCTAAGCTCAGTGACCACCGACTGCCATGCCTCAAAGTGATTCAGTGGATGCCCGCAATGCTGCCCAGCTCCTACTGTCCAATGCGCGACACGGGAATAATGCCTACAGCATGCAATATGATATGTGTAAGTAGAGCTGCAAGCAAGCGCATAAAGTTCTGGCTAAAGCGATCGTATTTTAATAGCAGCGCGAACACATTCCATCAACTTGATAACGGAGGACTTCCTGGCCGGCTACATGCAAGATGGACGCATGTCTGTGGTGCGACGCTTCTTCTGCCTCTTCGTAACATTCGATCTGGTGTTTGTGTCGCTGCTGTGGCTCATTTGCATTGTGGTATTGTGGATTGTCTGTGGCGAAATGCATAAACTTTGATTTATTTCGACTTTCAGATTGATGGAGACAATATATTCCAGGCGTTCCATAAGCAAATTGTGGAGTACACCATCTACACATCGCTATTCGATGTGGTGGCCATAGCGCTGTGCCGATTCATAGTCCTAATCTTCTTCTATGCCATGATGTACATAAATCATTGGTCCATTATAGCGGTAGGTTTATAGCGAAGGTTAATTGCTGCTCCCAAACTGATAATTCTCCGTTACAGCTTTCGACGAGTTGTTCGTGCTTGTTCCTCATCTCCAAGGTTTTTGTTTTCAATGTAAGATATGCAAATGTCACATCCCGAAAAGAATTTGTATAACTATCTTTTCCTTATTTTGCCCACAGTGGCTGCAAGCCAAACAACAAGTATTCGAAGTCATCCTCATAATCACTTCATTTATACTGGCTTGGGGCGAGGCCTGGTTCCTAGACTGTCGGGTCATACCTCAGGAGCGGCATGCCCAGCACTATTTTAGGTGTAAGTGCAGCTTGGCTCCCTTTCCACTGCAATGCATTAATTGTGTTGCACTCTATTGCAGCGCTGATTACGAATGATCGCACACCTTTGGTACAGCCGTCCATCTTGATTGAGAATGAGCGACCGCCGCAGAGTGTGACTAATTTTTATTCACCGCTGGACACAGCTCGCCACTCCGACGAAGAAGATGAAGAGGTAAGCTATTCATGTATGCGCATTCCAAAAACATTTTGGAATAATAACGAGAGATCGCCTGGCGACTATAAAAACGATTGATTCGGATTCGGTAGCAACAAAACTGTTTCCATGTTTTCGGTACTTTAATGCCTCTAAATATCAATTGTTCTTGATATCCCTTGATTGGTTCCATTTCAGGATGAGGAATATCACCAAATGGGCTTGGATTGCCTGCGCAAGGCCTATCAGATCATTGAGTCCAGTGACTGGAAGGTGGAAAAAGTCAACCACAAGGGCGACACCATTCACAGCATGCAGCGGGAGAAGATAGGAAAAATATACAAACTGACTGTACATATGCGCTTCGTTTTATACAAGTAAAGATTTACTTTACATTGAGTTTATTTCGTTTTACAGGCACGCATCAAATATTCCGCCAAGGCTCTGATGGAAGATCTTTTCTACCGCATTGAGGACTGTCCAAAATGGAATCCGGCCCTATTGGAATCCAAAATAGTGCGCGTAAGTCCACAAAACACGACTTCAGAGAATAACTTTGCTCACACGCAACTACTTTGAATAGAAAATCAATTCCTACACGGACATCACCTATCAGGTATCCATCGGAGGTGGTGGTGGCATGGTAAAGAGTCGCGACTTTGTCAACTTGCGGTCGTGTCGTCTGTTTTACAATGGCCAAATCTGCGATGACGACGATGTGGCCAAGCTGAGCAGCGACGATGACGACGACAACAGCACCCTGAACCGCTCCTGCGAGGGCAGTGTCAGCACCATATCCGATGGCGAATCACAATCGCCTCTGCCCAGCAGCGTTTCCAGTTGTCGGGCAAAGTTCCCCAACGCATCGGTGGGTCCCTCAACGCCCTTCAACACACTTGGCAACAGTCTGGGGGCAAAGAGTCTGGGAGCAGTAGTAAACTTTGATGAAGAACCGCCGCCTCTGGACGAAGATGAGTTTTCAGATGCCAAAGAAAAGCTGGATGGCGAAGCAGAGAAAGAGACCATGGCAAAGCCAAGCAGCATTGGCACGACCACGGATAAGGTTTGGATGACCGCTGCGATTAGTGTACAATACGCTCCTGTTCCGCCTACATCCAAGTACACAAGGTGAGGCGACAAACTAAAGGGAAACACAACGTGGAAACTCACTCTCATAATTTCTTATCCAATTGCAGGGGCGAGAATATAGTCACGGGCTTTGCCTTTCGTGAAATCGTTGGTAAAACAGACAGCTGCATCGTTGAATGGGTGTTGTGTCTAGATCTAAAGGGATACATTCCTCGCTACGTTCTGGATGCTGTGAGTAGTAGTCTCACAACTCATTTGAATGCAGACTATAATATATATTGTTTCTTTCAGGCACTCACCTCCTCCATGACGGAATACATAACCAATCTGCGCAAGCACGTGAATGAGCTGCGACATCGGGGCCGTGGACGAGCTCCGAGGGTACACTAGCCACCAGCCATAGTGATCAACAGTGGTGCAACAGCAGTGGCCTAGGCCATATTTAAACTGTACTCTAATTGTAATTTAATTGTATCTCACGAGTGTGCTTGCAGCAATCATCTGTAGGAATATTTTAAGTAATAGTAGAGCAGAATCATGTTCATTTGCAGTATGTTTAATGATTATATGTATGTATCTATATATGATAATGCGTAAGTTTTATGCGAATGCACGGCTTATAATATAACATTTTACATGATTCTATAATGTTTCGGTTTTCCCCATTTAGTCGCCGCTGCAGCTGCAGGTGCAGCCACAGCATCTGCCTGCCTGCTGCTGCTGCTGCTGGTATTGCATTAATCGTAGGCTTGAGATCACTTCTAGGAGGCGCAGTCGGAGGGCGTGGTCCTATTTGCTGTCGTTCTGTGGAAACCACATGGGACACGCCTCCATGGCCACCTCGCACACGGCACTCATCTTGGCATTGTCATAGTCTGCATACAAATCAGAGTCAAGTGAAGTTGAATGATCCCCCAGAATGGGCACCCGGAAACTTACCCAAACCATTGCGCTTGCCAAAGATGCTGCCATTGAACGGGGGCTTCCTGTAGGCCGCCTCGCTGGAGCCCAGCAGAATGGCCACGGCCAGGATGGTCACCAGCAGCAGAGTGAGTGTGAATCGGAGAGCCATTTTGCAGTCTTCGGTGAGCGTTGTGGGCAGTGTGCGATTGCGATGTCTGGTTCTGATGTGAATGCCTGAAGCGAGCAAATGTTTCTGTGTCCAACCAAGCAGCGCTCAAAGCTTTTATACCCACAAAAAGGGTCCAGTCAGTGGCTGGATATGATTCCTTCCTAATTGAGTTACACATATAATTGAAACGAGATTGCTTGGGGACCTGTACCATAAAATTTAATTGCCATTCATTTATATACATTGCTGTCTGAAATTCTAGCTAAAATCCAAACTACGTCTTGGCGTTCCACTCGAGCACCTTGTTGAACTCCTTCTCCCCGCAGCCAATGGCCACCGACTGCTCCATGCAGCTGGTCTGCCGCTTCAGATTGTCTATCATGTACAGCTGCTTCTTGTAGGCATTCAGGAGGTCACCTCGTTGCCGCTTCAGAGCCCTGATGCGGCTATCCTTTGCCTTCAGCTCGTTGCGGTGCGTATCCAATTCGTCCCGTTGCTCCTCTCGCATTTTGCTGAGGGCCTGGCGGGCGGACTCGGCCTCCTCCTGGGTGCGTGTCAGACGATTCTCCAGATTAGTATTGCCCTGCTTCAGCACCTTGTTGTCGCGCTTGAGCTGCTCCAGTTCTCGCTGCTGGCTGGTGAACTCCTGCTGGCGCTCCTTCAGGCGCCGGCTGGCCTCCTCGTACTGCTGCTCGGCCCGCTGCAGCTGCTCCGACAAATGCTTGTTGGAGTTCAGGCTCTGATCCCGCTGACTCTCGGACTTGCGTAGCCCCTCCAGTGCCTGGTCCAGCTTCTCCTTCTGGCGTCCCAGCTCACCGGCATGCTGGGCATGATCCTCCTCGAGTATGGCTACCTTTGCCTTCAGGAATCTATGAAAGAATCAGAGTGAAGAAGCCTCCGCAAGCTGTGTTTGTCACTCACTTGATGAAGTTATCCTGGGTCAGCTGCTTCTTGGCCTGGCCATTGACCACAGTGGTGCTCTCCCGTCTCTGGGTGACCTCCATCTCCATTTGATCCGACTTAATGCTCGCGTTGTCGAGCAGTATCATGTCCAGCGAGGTGCTATCGCTGAAGTTGGGGTTACGATACTTCACGACCGTCGCCGTCTTGCTGCTCGGGACCCGCGTGAATGTGCTGAACTTGTTCTCGAAGCGGGCCGTCGTGGGCGATGGAGGACCCATGGACTCTCCCTTCTTCCAGTCCGGCGTCTTCGAACTGTTCAGCAGAGTGGACGCGGGCGCCGGTGGCGAGTTCCTGCCCGGTGGCGTGACAGAGCCTGATCCCATTGCCTTGGACACCATCTTCGTTTGGGCGCCCTTCTTCTTGAGCAGCGTACTCGGCCCCTTTTGCCGGTGGAAGGTGTCAGTTCGCGTCCTGAGTGCGAGTCCCGACGGCCCCTTCGCCGGGTAAATGACATCTGATATCCCGCCAGGGGTCAGGGTCAACAAGTTGAGCTCCTGATTCATCTTGAAAAGTTCCTTCTCGCGTGACAATAACTCTGCCATTGAGGTTGAATATTAGTCGTTGGAACAGTGCTTCAATCTGCTCTCTCCGTAGCTAATACTTCAAACAATTCTAGCAATATTTATCCCAAGACCTCGTACACATAGAATTTATCCTCGAAACTAGTTTTCCTGGATATATTCGGTGGCTATTTCGAATGAGTTGTCGCCCAATGTTGATGTGTTTCCTGACTAAATAAATCTCCCATTTGCCGCCGCCAAACACTGACGACAGTTACCCCTGGCTACTTCGAAGAATTATCATTGGCATGGGGCCCACCTCCCCTTGAGTCCATGACAATGAAGTTGTTGGGGGTTGTTTTTCCCCGTTTGTTCGATTGGAGACCGGCTTCCCGCTCCCCCATAAACTTCCATGAACTATTGTCTGCTGAAGTTAATAAACTTTTTGGCATGACACCGTGTGTGTAGGCGCCTTTAAATTCACACACAAAACATCAATCAATTTGTTGCGTGGGTGAAATCTTTCTATATGCTAATGCTCTTCAGAATTTGTATGATGTAACTGAACCATAAATAGATTTGGCAGAGCTCCTCAAACAGAAGGAAGACCTTCTACAAACTGAGTCTAGTCTTTGGATCTGCTTGCAGTCATAATTGTTCCCTGCCTCATTGGAATTCTTTCACGTTTTAAAAGCATATTTCTCGTTCCATTGAGGAGATCAACAAGAGGAACACGCATAATAATCATAAATATTGATACAACTAAAAGTATAAGCAGAAACACGACGCTCGACTTCAAGGGAAATGGACAACAAACCATTCGAACCGTACCCTTCTTTATGTGCCACAGCTACCTGTACTTGTGTTTGCTCGAAGGGAGTTGGGTTCCTAAAATGTAAATGCAAGTGCCAAGATTTATGGACAACAGCTAGAAAGCAAACAATGAACCAGTAAGAAACTGTCCCCCAGCTGTTCTATCCACGAAGCCACCTGATCAGTCGATTGGTTATGCCCATGGAATGGCTGTGGCTATGACTGTGGCTATGGCTATGGCTATATATGCCGTCATCAAGGTGTTCTGGTGACAGCCCACACATTGCCCATAATTGCATCAGCGGACGGGTTGCCAAGTCAGAGCCAAGCAGAATCTGGCTCCAAGTTTAGCTGAAGCTGTGGCCAAGCATGACGACGCCCTGGCTTGATCTGGGGCTGGAACCTTTGCGGCATGAGATGACCAGTGGCCGACTGAACGCCTGAACCTCTAACTATGTAAAGGGGAGGCGCACTCATTAGAAAGACAATCCCGCCTCGACTGCTAGGGTGTATCTACCAAAAAGAGAGCCAGCAGAGCGTGCAGCACGGTTCGAGTGTTGCTGCTGAAAAACTGCCAACAACACCGATGCAGAGACAGAGACAGAGAAGGAGACGACATCGATAGCCAGGCTAGTAGTGGCTTGAAGAGCGTGCACTAAGAGCAGACTTGCCAAATACTCCGAAAATCACAAGTCAGGCTACTCCGAAAAGAGTCTTGGCAAGACCGGTTCTTCGGGCTCTTCGGAGTGTCTCGTCTCGACTCGACTCGGCTCGGTCTTCGAGTCAACTGGCTCAAACAGTCTTGGCCAGGTTGGTGTGCGAGAGACATACACATTACTAACGAACGCGGATCGCACGACAGATCCGATCCGACCCTCTCCGCTTCGCTTCGTTTCGCTTTGCCTCGCTCCGATCCCATTCCCGTGTACGCGAGTGCCTCCTCATCGACACCAAGTTCTGAGTGCGTTTAAGAATAAGTGTTTACCCGGTTCTAATTGGATCGTGCAAACCCCATTGGCAACGCCAGTGGAGCTATTTGTATTTTTTTGGGGAATTTTGAAAACGTTTCTTCGCCCTACCGCTGCCTGTTGTTGTTATCGTCTGTCGTCTGGGGTCTTCGGATTGTTGGCTGCTGCCCTTGGGAAGATATTACGCTCGACGGGTGGTTGAACCGAGGCAGCTTAAAAATTCGTGCTGAATGATTTGTGAATTCGTTTGTATACAAAAATATTTCGCGTTGTTTTGGGGCAAGTGTAAAAGTGTCGGAAAGTTTGTGGAGGTTTATGTCGGGTCTTTTGTCTTGCCACGGGAAACAGGCAGCAGGCAACGTGCAACAGGCAACGGGAAACAGACAACAGCCAACAGGCACAAACAGCTCAAAATATTTGCAACTAAAATCAACTAAAGCCGTCTCTCTCTCTCTCTCTCTCTCTCTCGCTCTTTGACTCTCTGTTTCTCTTCGGGAACTCTTGTGTGTGGTAAAACCAGTGTTGGCCACCAAACACGGATAAATAATAAGAGGAAGCCGAAGCGCAAAAATCACTTAATGCCAATAACAAAAGCTGCAAACTCATGTGAAACGAAAATACCCTATAAATAATTAAAATTCATCATCATTTTGGCCAATCCCCCAACCAGTTTGGACCCAGCCACAGCCACAAAAAACAAACATCACAAAACCATTTGGATTGGATTACACAAGAAGGGCGAAGTTGGACAACCTGGACTGAGGTGAGTGCCACGAAACCGTTAGGCAGGCAAACAGTTGCAAGCCACAGCATAATTCAACATTCAATATATTCGAGATATTGAAGCTTTGGCCGAAAAACACACAAAAACTTTGAAAAGATGACTTCATAAATCGACTCATGCTGCGCGGATCTGCCAAAAATCCATCAACGAAACCGGTTCGCTGTTTTGTTTCGCCTGAAAAACTTGAAGAAAATGTGATTGGCAGTGGAAAAGGAGGAGGCTGCAGCTCAGGCTGAATTTGTTTTCTGTGCAAATTAAATGGGACTTTAGTTTGTTGCGTTTTGCCGAGCAAAAACTGTCCCCATCTGCATTGAACCTGTTTCCCCAAGGTTAGCGATGGCCAAAATTGGCTGCCAAGTTCGCTGATCGGATGGTTACATCATCCGGTGTGTCTGGGGACACAAATATGGATGGGATGCATGTGGCATGCCTCAAAATAGAAGCAGACTGCAATTGCTGTTTGAACAGCCACATCACGGACATCCGTTTTTGTGGTGGACATCCACCTCATTCCATTTCCCTCTCTGGATTGTGCGTGTGTCCGGCATAAGTAATGTGTCATCGGGAGTTGGGGTGCTGCAGAGACCTTAAATCCAAGACCAAGTCCAAGTCCATTCACATTTTCCACGCACTCATTGTGTGGCCAGAATTCTGTTGCTAATTGGCTGGCCAAACAATTTCCCAATTCTCAGTGCTGTGTGCGTATAACATTAATCATTTACCTGGGAAAAGTGCCAGGGTTATGGCGGAGCTCTGCTGAGCCGAAAGTTGGAGCTTCTCCCTGTCGAACTTTTAGCACTTCGACGCAGCATCCACCCAGGCGGAAGGGGTCATCATAATAATGTTCGTTTCGAGTTGCTGGGTTGGCGTCTAAAAGAAGCAATTAGAAAATTTGATTGATGGACATTGAGTGAGGATGAGGCCGCAGCCGAGGCTGAGGCTGTGGCTCCGAACACTTACATCATCCGAACGCTGGGAACTCCGCTATGCTATGTGGAGTGAGCCTTCTGGCCTTTCCCTTTTGATGCATCGCCTATTAATTGGTTAATTTGTGGTTTGTTAGCCATCAAAATATTGTCTGGCCAATGTAATGAACTAATGTTTGTGTTGAATGCAACGCCTGTTGCCATGAATAATGAATAATGGCCTTATGTATGAGCATTGCCCCCGCAACATTCTATCTCCGGTTCGTTCTCTCATCTGCGGGTAGGCGGCTGCCACAACATTCTCAGAATGCTTTGTTTTGCCACGAAGTTTGAGGAACGCCAACGCAAGCGTTACATTTTGTATAATTAAAAAGGCGAATCCGCGAGTGGCTCGAGCTATCCAGCTCTACAGCTCTCGACTCTGCTTGAATACCAGTTTCTTGGCGATCGTGTAGTTAACTTGTTTATATAACAACTGCTCCGAGTGACCTTGAAGGAAGCACAAAATACAATAAAGACGGAAAAAATATGTATAATTTTTTAGTTGTTGTTATATGTACTCATATGACTTTTTTTTAGCGATTATGTGATTGTGGGGAGACTCACTTAAGAGAGAGAGAGCGGCTGCCAATTTCCAAGTTTCAGTTTCTTCTCTTTAATCGAATGACGAATTTTCGACTGGGTAGGTTCATGAACTGTACACCCAGACAACGTGTGGGCTTTCCGAAGGTGTGCTGCGGCAGTCTAATAATTTGATTTATAATCTTTCGCATTGAAAAACGTTGCCCGAAGAACAGCCAAAGAAAGCACCGAAAAAATTGTGGGTTCATTCAACCGAATTTAAAGATCTTTACAACGTTAGATTTCCCGCTTGTGCGGCATTTCTTTTTTTTTGCAATATACTCCGATTGATTTACAGTTGACGACGAAAGACTTAAGCAACAAACTTGTCTTCAGCGTTGGGTTGTCGTCTGCCCGAGCGCATTACTCATGCGACACGTTGGCGCTCGCCGCTAATTATGCAAAAACCCAAAAGTTACCGTTTGCTAGCCAGAGGCGTGCCACGCCTATCCCACCGTTTAGCCAATGAGTCACATGGCCGATCTGCTGCCTGGACAATGTGCAGCAAATTTCGTGTTTGTTTTGGCTTAAAATGAAAAGTCGTCTGGCTAGTTACCCCCGTCAGTCTCTGTACCCCTCCCGCATAGGAGTCACAGTCGCAGTTGGAGCTAAAATCAAGCTGACTTAATGCAGGCTTTTACCTTAGACAAACCCCACGCAAAAACCCCCTGAACTGAGCTGCAATTGAATAAGAGGCTGCGGCTCCAGCTGTACCAATGCTCGACCCAACTCATTCCGAAAAAACACTTTCAAATCCCAGCTTTAACTGGGGCGTGTCTAATGCTGACTCTTGAACTGCCTTGAGCGCGGGGTCTAAGTTTAGCCAACATGAACAAGGAACTGTACGAAAAATTACCACGAAAACTACACCCAGTTCTTCCCTTGTTTATGCCAGAGAATGAGATCATTTTGTTGGAGGAACTCATCAGTATGGCAGAACAGATGTAGAAAGGAAACACGAATAAAGTTATTATGAGGTCAGAGCGGGCTGCAAGCAATTAGCATTGCCCGTGTCTGTAGCTCATCAGTCGATTCCCTCATCAGGTTTAAAATACGCTACAATAAATGGGTTTTAATGACGAATTATTCTCGTGCTAAGCTCGTTGACCAGCAGCCGCAGCCGCAGCAGTAGCCGTTGCCAATGTCGCTGGCAGCGTTAATTTTAAGTACTTCTAGACAGGCTGAAACAGAAACAAAAACAGCAGAAACCCAAAAGCTACAGCAAAAAACGGAACTACAAAAACGAGTTTCTGAAGCTGCCTTCAGGCAAGGCAAACAAAAAACAACAGCGGCGGCGGGTAACAATGGGCGCCAGTCAAAAAGGCAAAGGCAAGACGCAAAGCAAAAAGCAAAGAGCGCAAAGTAAATGGCTAAAACTGAAATATTGTAGACCAGGCCTGATAAAAATCAAAACACATTCATGTCTACAGCTTGGCCCGAGTCACGTTCAATGCGAATTTCTTTGCCGTTTGTTTCGTTTGCTGTTTTTTTGTTTGTTTTATTTTATTTTTCCTGTGGCACAACTTGTAACCCACAAAATTAGGCGTCAAAAAAATACTTTGAGGCTGCTGTTGTGGGGGTGTCCAATAAGCATTTTGCATATTGCCAGTCAGCCGCTAAGCCAAATAGGACATCTTGACAAATCAACGCTGCAAAAACTTTGGCAGAAAACTTACAAAAGCGCCAGAGACAGAGCAAAACGAAATTGGGCAGCGGCTTGCGTTTTGGTCTCACCCAAACTTGGTCACACAGAGTCTGTCCATTCGTGCAAGATGTGGCAAGATGTCTCCACGCTCCAGTTTACCGCACAAAGGTGCGTTTGGCAACGGCCACAGCTCATATTGGTCCAAAGCATTGCACAAGGACAACACCCCAAGAGAGGGGCCGCCATTCCATTTTGACCAAAACAAAAAGGTGGACGACCATTTAGCCGCTAACGATGTGCACTTTGCCACAAAATTCTCACTTTGTTTTAATTGCAGCGTAAATTAAAGTTAACGTTGCGGCTGCCACTGCGATTGGCCAAATCAAAACCTATGAATGTGGCTAGCACAATGGGAATTGGCGTTGGCGTTTATTGCAATTGGCCAACTGCAAATTAAAGCATTGTTAGCTCATTTGCGCATTGTGTTGGGACTCAAGACAATACGGCGGCGACGAGACAATTGCAATGACCTTGACGCTACGCCAGAGCAGGCCGTAAGGCGGGTAAACAAAATAGACTTCGTTCCGATTCGTTGGCTGCGTTTGCTTTGAATCTGAGACCGGAGATGGCAGCCGGGAGCCTGACTGCCTGGACTACCTGCAATCGAATGCGATCCCCCCAATCAAATGTCAGCTAATTGTGATATCTCCACATTTGAAATTCTAATTCATGGCCAAAGCCCCTGTCTCTGTCCCTGCCCCTGCATACACAAGCAGGTGAAAGTCGTCGATTCTTCAATTGCCATTGATCTTTAGTGTTTGATTAGCACGCCAAGTCGATGATACAGAGAGAGAGAGACATTCAAGCACCTGCGGCGACTGCCACTAGAAGTTTTTTGGGTAAAAGTAAAAGCTAAAGAAACAAAAGCCATGCCTGACCTCATTCAAACTGTAAAACCAACGAAATATGCGTGTGGAGAGACTGCAGCGCATTTGACCCTTTTTCATTTGATTTCGACTCGTTAATTACCATCATTAAGAACAATGCGGGATAATCAAACAATGGTGGCATAGCCAAGGCTAGGCCTAACGCCTGCATCTTACAATCAAGATCGAGAGAGCGATAGATCATCTTCATCTCGAGAGAGAGAGAGAGAGAGAGAGAGAGAGAGACATAACATAACCAGCCTCAACTTTACTTTCTATGGCAGCGAAATTGCAGTAAAATTAGCTGTACGCATCGCTATGCTGATTGATCATAATACAACTTTGGCTCTGTGCCGACCCGAATACGAGTATGCATATGTACAATATACGAGAGAGAGAGAGAGAGAGAGAGATGATGTTGGCTTGGGGAGATTTCTCATTTTTATGGCACTTCTGTCTGTGCCCGCCCTTCTTCTGCCCCACAACAGGCGGCAAACCGCAACGCAACCGAAAGTTAGGTTCTCTGTCCGTCCGGTCTCTCTGTTTCACTCTTTCCTTTACCCGCCTGCTCATTTCAAATGGGTCACAGCTATGTTTGTGTTGCGGTTAATACTGACATCGCTTGTCGGTATATGTTATATACATGCATATGTATGCCGTGTGTGCTTAACACGCTTTTTTTTTGCATGTATTTTGTGTATAGCCTTTGGCAATTTGCATCGTACCCAACATCTCGAGATGGGAATCGCCTGATATTCTAATTGTAAGCAGCGCTGTTCCTGCTGTTGCTTCTAATGAAGTAACCCAATTCATTGGATTCGGGGTCCCTCAGCTCTTTCGTTTGATTAATGTGCCTCGCTTACGCAGGTACTTCTTGTATGTGGAGCAACCTAATTTGTTGATGAATGAATTGATCCATGGGCGGCACCGAATAATCAGATATTAGTCTGGCCTAGCCCCACAATTAAACGGGCAATTAACATTTAATTTTCCAATTTTATCTTGGCGCAATTTAACGCACAGTTACGCGCTTTTTTCATGCACTTTAATGCCTTTTATTTTTTTGGCTTTTCCTAACAATTTTGCTCAAGCAGAAAGCTGTAAAAGTTAAGCGTACCATTTTCGTTTTTGCATACTCTCGTTGACTATTTAACAAACAAATAAATTACGTTAGCAGTTGGAGGGAAAATGAAAACACGCGAGGTCACTTTGCCGCCACATTAGCAGAGCACTCCACACATCAATGAAAATGCAATTGTTTAAACAAAATAGAAGTAAAACACTACACATTGTTGGCTCTTCGTTGGCACGCAAAACACACACCACACACCGCACACACTTAATTTATTCAGTTGCACGGAGCATTTTGTTGGTTTGTGCCTCGTCTTTGTTTACGTTTTAGTGTGGCGTGGCTTTTGTTGCTCTCCGAAATGTGTGTCAAATGGATTCAAATCGACTGAAAATATCCGTTGCAGTTCAATGCACACTCTTTGCACCAAGCACGCATACTTTGTGTGCTTCGAGTTGAATAGTCAATGAATCATGGAAGCAGCAGGAAGGAAATTACATTGGAAATGATACATCCATTCCGAAGTGGTTCTTCATTTCCATGCGGAGAATACAAATGGCAGAAGGAACTTCAATTTCCTGTCGTCTTCGATTGTTTTACATTTATTAATTTCAGTTGCTGAACTCGGCAGAGTCGTGAAAGTTGAATTTGTTGCAATTTCCCTTATCGCAGGCGAACGTAATTGAAGGTCAGCCGCCAAAGCTCAGCTCCCATTTCCAATGGCACTTTGGCATTATTTTTGCTCTCTTCTTTTACTTTTTGCTGTAGTATAGTAGTAGTTTTTTTTTTTTTGCTCGAACTAGGTAACGAGAGCAGATGCCAATCAAAGTCATTATTCATAATATTCGTTGGCGTGCTTAGCCGCATTTTCCAGGTCGATGTTTTGGTTGCCTGCATGAGCTGAGTTTTCAATTGGGAGTACATACTCGTATCTGCTATTTCTGTCTCTGTTAGAGCAGGTTGCGTCATCTTTGCTAATTTTAGCTAATTTATTGCACTGCCATTGGAATTACCGGCTCCGTACTGCTATTGTGGGATGGGCTGTGAGGCTGTTGCTGGCGTCAGTTGGCAATTTGCATTCAGCTTTGAGTGACGATCCGATCCGCTCCGCTCTGCTCCGCGATCCCAATCTGTTTTGGAACATTGGCTTATTGTTGAGGAAGTGTGGGCCTGCCTGCCAGCATTGACAAATTGGTGATTGTGTGTGTGTGTGCTCGGTGCATAATGTTTACAATTTATCATTTCCATAAGATTACTATTGACCCAGTTGCTGGCTTCTCCTCAAAACCCCTCAAAGAGATTACAGCACTTGGATATAATAACTGATCCAGTCGCGAGTCGCGAGTCGCTGCAGTCGAGTTCGGGCCTTGTGACATCATTTCTGTTGAATGAAATGTGTTGGCAGCAGCAGTAGGCTGTAACAACAACAACAAATCATTGCCTCCGGCCATTATCGCCTTGCCTGTTGGCCATCAACGTAAGCCGCATGTTGTTGTTTCGGTTCGCCCCAAAGATAATCATCTAGCTGGCAACAAACGGAGGTGATTTTGTCTCTTCCTGGCCATGACTCGCCGTCAGGTTGTTCTCACACAACACTGGGACACAGTGTAAACGTTGCAGGAAGCTAAAAAATGCTTATCATGTGTGCAGCATACTCGGTTATTGATATGTGTTTAATTCCTCGTAATGTGTACTCCCCAGTCAGTCCAGTCCAGCCACTGCTTCTGTTTGTGTTGTAATAGCGGAAATCAGAGTCATGCCACAATGAGTCTCCGGCATGAGTTGCACTGACGGATGTTTGTCCATCTTCGGCTCTGTTGTGTGTGGTACTTGAAGAGATGCTTCTGGGCACTGGCCTCCAGCATCAGCTCCTATCCAACGCCTCCTTCTTCATCTACTCAGTCACTGTTGAACCGTTGTACAATATTTATGCCGATGTTAACCCATTTGCAAGATCCGCGCACGCGATGCTGTTGCCATTGGATCCGAATTTTTGGCTGGGCTGTTGACTTGACCCAAATGCCAAACAGAAAGTTTGCCCGCCGGCAACGAACCCAAGCGAAAACCCAAGCAACAACAATCCATTGCAGAACTGTTGGGGCGAGTTGTATGTTGAATGATTTAGCATAATCCGATTGATATACGTGTATTGTGGGTGTCTGAGACCGGTTATCGCGGATATCTCACAAGTCTCACAAGCACCGGCATTAATCTATGTCTTTCTCTCACCTTTTTTACAGCTCACACCGCACCATGAAGTCGGGCACGCAAAAAGACCTACTGTACACGGCGCTGCACTTAATCGTAAGTTTTATCTGAGAGTCCACAATCCGTAGCCCCATTCTGGGCCCATTGAAATGGAAAATTGGCAGACCAGGCCAGCCAGAGCAGCCGGTAAACACATCAATCAGCCTACAGAACACCGAATGACAATTGCATGCCAATGCGATTAACCTGGATATGAGGTGGCCAACAGACGGACAGCCGACCCGACTCTCTCTTCGTATGCTAAACGCGATTCGGTCGCTCCTGCTTGCAAGCATAGTCAAAAGTGGCACAACACTGGACCCATGCCTAGCTCTGCCTCATTCTGAGCCGCTTGGCCCCGACTCAACCTCGACTCCAGCACAGATTTTGCCTGGATTCAGGTTCAACTCTAACCCAGCGCAAGAGGCTGGCGAAAGTTTTCGCCATTACAGCCACAGCGTAGCCTTAGAATCGTGAGAATATAATGCTTCTCCCATATCTGTCTGCAACACGAAAACGAAATTTCTGCTGCATTTTCTATGCACTTTAATTAAAGAAGCTTACCTACTGCCGTGTCTCGGCTGGATTATGCTGAGGCTCACTGTCGGCTTGCCGTGATTTATGTCAGCGCTTTATGGTCCGCCTGCCATGGGGTCTGGACAGGAGTCCGTGGGTCGGGCTACTACTATCCCAACTATGCTAATGAGTGACTTGTCTCCACTTTCTTTGCAGACAATCGCAGCTCTGACGACGCATGCAGCGCAGATACCAACGGCAGTCAGTGAGTACACAAATCTATCTATCAATAAGCCTCTCTCGATAAATTCTATTGACTCCAAATGCTGAATTATGGAAAAACTTGTTTCCGAATTGGTTGTGGTGGCATCTGAAACACATACATATATATCATTAAGTTGGACTCTTTAGTTTTTAAATGAGCTCTACGAGTATTACCTAATTAGTTATGAGCAGCAATCCACTTAAGAGCCCACATTTCTCTCTAATCTGCCATTGTTGCATCGCTATGGAAACAGTGTTGGGTTTGCCGTGGTGTTTGTGTTTTTCTTTGTCGTTTGTTGGGTTGCCAAATCTCTTGACTGTGGGCCAAAAGTGTTGCCAGCACCAGGCACATAATCGCATGGCAAACAAAAGTCCATTCATGTGGCGCCTTAAGCTGCCTTATTGAAAAACGACAGCAAACGTTGCGGCATGCTTCCTTTCGGACTCGCAGTACGGCTGTATCCCCTAGATAGCCCAAAGCGGCTGCAGATAGTTGCGGATCTGCTGGTAGAAGAGCCTGTGCTTAGTAGCTCCTAACGGGACGGCAGCCTGCGGGATCGTTGCGTCCGGGTCAAAGTGCCTGGTGGAAGCATGCCTGGAGCGATAATAGAATTGTGAGGACTGGCGCAGGCTGGCTGGGACTCTTGCCAGACTCTCTCACATTTCGACGGTCCAGCATATGCGTCTTCTATTCGGTTAGCACGAATCACAGCAGACGGTACCGGGAGCTGGCCAAAGCAAACGCATTTCATCATCTTCATCGATTGCAGCTTCCGCTGGGGCCAGTCGTGGTAGAGCTAGCGGGTTACCGGGATAAATATCTGGTGGGAGCAGGGATCAATGATCAGTTAAGGCTGACCCCAATTTCACTGTTGACTCCCACATTGTCCGTTCTGAGGATCTGTCCATTTTAACGAAGACGCAAAAGCAACCAAGCTATCGAGGAAGGCAGTAAGGAAATGTTCGTGTCCCGAAAGAACTCTTTAGGATTGTATTAATTTAATTGATTGTGGAATTTCGTTCTATCCATTCGACGTCTGCCATTTTCTTTGTTTTCTGTTTGCTTTTTTCGCTGCCCTTGCCTTTGCATAAGCGAAACAAGGATAGCAATACTTTGGTGCTGTCCAACACTAATTCACATATGTATAAGTGCAGTTTACTTTTCTTGTTATATTTGAGAGATCTGCTGGGTATTGCAGTTCTTCCCCTTCACAAATTATACATAATAGAAAGCCATTAAATGTTTTATGTGCTGGCCGCAGTCCACTGCAGGAGTGGAGGCACCACAAAAACCGGCTCCAGCCACGACAACGACGACGTGGCCGTGTTGCATGCAATTACTTTGCCCAGCCACATGCTGGCATAGAACAGAACAGAAACAGAGGTAAGTGATGCGAAATGCTGCAAGGTTCGTTGAACCACTGCGGAGGCATCACATCGCCTTGCCTCGCATCCCATCCAAAGTATACAACCAGCCAACTGAACTGCCAGGGCGAACGTGCCGCAGCAGAGTGTAGCTCTTCCTCGGACCAGTTGTGTACCTTCGGATGGGCCCACGAAAGAGTGCAAAAAGAAGAGCCCAAGTATGCGAGCGCTGGCAGGAGGTGGAGGTGTCAGAGCAACAACTCAGCATGGAGTTCTTGGCATTGCAATGGCTTTCTGGTCTGGTGCGATCTGTTTTGGCTTTGTGAGCGCTGGCATCGAGCAGGAAATGCCAAGAGCCCAACCTAATCCCAGGCCATGTCTCGAATCGTCTGCTGAAGTTCAAGGAACTTGGCATCTTTCTAATGGCTGCGGATCAGGCCAGGCCCACGAGCGCTTCTGTGCTGTGTCTTCCCCCCGATGGGTTTGGTGCGCTGTTGTTGCCGCTTCAATGGCTTTTCAATGTCATGAACGAACCGTTGTTGTCGCTGTTTGTTGGCTCTTCCGCATGCTGGCCCAGCTTGGAGCTGCACTGCGACTCCAACCTCGACTAAATACTGCTCCCATGGGCATCTGTTGTGCCATTGTTGTCTTGGCTTTTTGTTTTGTTGTGCGCTCATGACTTGTGCTAACGGCTCTTGAGGTTACTTCAGTGTGGAAGCAGCTGATGCAACTGTAACCGCATCCTCGTTCACATCTAACTGTAGTTTGCCAGCTGCACACAAACATTCCCATTTTGGGAGCGTGCGCCTGTCATGTTTATCTGCGACTTTATTGCATTTCATAATTTCTTTTTTCCTTGCAGAGGATGCACAAAGTTCGCTAAGTGACGCCATCGCGGCGGCTGAGGCGGAGTCCGATGGGGGCGCACCCACCTCCAAGCCAGCCATTGAGCCGAGCGTGCGGATAAAATGCCTATCGGGCTCCATGCTGATCACCATCAAAGATGCCCCGCCAAACCACGAGACCGGGCTGTTCAGTGGCATGATCTACCCGAAAGGCCTATCCAAGAACTCCACATGCCTCAGCGAGTACAGGTGAGTGAGAGCCGCGTGCAGATCACAATTTAGATTAAATCGTTGTAATTGCTATCGCTTTTATCCTCGTCCCCCGCAGAGATCACGTGGGTTCGCTGCGATACAAGCTGCCCCTGCGTAGCTGCAACACGATGCCCAAGGAGACGGTAAGTCACAGTCGATAGCTTAGAACCGAAATGATGTGATGTGATGGGTCTCTTCCATAATGGGTGACGAGACTCTAACTTGTGCTCCCACTCAAGCAGATGTCCAAGCCAACTCGCTCTGCCTTTTTCGCATGCACATAAAAAAGCATTCCCGCCTATAAGGCAATTCAAGTCATTGGTTACAAGGTAAAATCCATATGCCAACATGATTAGTCAATTGAAAGGTTGACGCTGCTCACGCTTGATGCTGGTGCACACGCACTCAGTGGCTAAGCTAATGGTAGATAAATGGCTTGTATAGCGTCAAGACTTGTTAACTAAAATAGCAGTCATTAGGTACGGCAGATGGAACTTAATGGATGTGGCCATAATATTAGTAATTCTTAAAGCCTAACAAAAAACTATATTTCTTGATTTCATAACATAAAATCCGATCAGGCGTATTATTTATAAGCCCCGCCTCAGCGAGCATGACAAGCTGCCTTGCCTGCCATGTCCCTGTAAACGATATCGAATGATCCCAAAGACGGCCCCGATGTGCCATATAAATTTCAGTCGAGAGTTTGTCCAGCTAGCTCTAATGCTTTTATGGCCAAGCATATTTATTGGCTCATTCGATCGATTCATTCGATCACACAACGAACTGCCTTTGTGCTGGGATCTGATGGGATTTTGAAATCTCAATTAGCACTTGGCCCGGCTAAATGCGGCTGCAGCTCACGCATCAGCAGCACAGCAAAGACACGTTTATGGTCTAGTATACCCGGAGCCAGTGGTACCTGATTGTGATACATATTTAACGTATTTTTTCCCAGCATTTATGGGGCCAGCATTTTGTAATTTTCTGCTGCTGCAGCTGCTTCGACTGCTTTTTCCTTTCGCTCAATTGGATTGACACAATTTTTGAAATTGCAAATGTTAATTGCAGTTACGACAAGCGGATTGATTCGATCGATGTGGCAATGCATTACCTGCAATGTGTGTTTGTATGCTAGTAGACTGGTAAATAGTTCCAGACGCACTGTACATGGCTGCCATGTTCTTTGAGATTGTGGTCCGAGTCTTTGGCGTTGTATTTGCTTTGTCCTTGGCCAAGCCGCCTTCCAGTATTGACTCAAACAATTTGCGTCGAGCATTCAATAAGCCAGAATCGATAATGGTTTGTTTACTGCGGACCAACAGCGGGAAAAATCAACAGACGCAGTCAAGGCTGGACTCGAGATATGTACGAGTATGTACCTACTCTTTAATGTTTGTCATTAAAGACGATGAGCGGCACTGAGCCAGCATGCACTCGGCTAATGGCCACCGCTTGGCTGGCATCCTGCCTGTCTTACGTCATCGTCGCTCAAACGATGAGCTCAGCTTTCCGAATGCAAGGTGGGAGAGTCGCGTGACAACTTGCCACAGCGCTGCCATTGACTGGTGACTGCCACCCCGAGCTGAGGGTCGCGCCAAGACGATCCGTGCTGTGCGCAGTGCGCATGTCAAGCATAATTAAATCAGCTACGAGCAGGTGCCCCCGACAGGGCAGCGGGAGGAGGCCCCTCTGAAGCGAGAAAAATATTGTTTTAATTAAAATTTAATTGCCACCAAGCTGATGAGCTCAGAACAACTTCATTGTCAGCTCACAAGTGTACGCTCTCCGTTCGCACAGACACACATCATCAAATCACAATTTTTCATGGCCCCAGCAAGTACCGATCCAATTAGGGCTACCCCCGCACCGTATGGGTTCCCTCATCTTCCCGGTCGAAATCGATTTGTTCTGACGCTGACAACGTTGGCGGTCGGGCAATGCCACTGGCTGGTGGTTGGCCGTGAAAAGGCCAAAAGTGTGCAACGACATGTAAGCGGCGTTTTATTGCTGTTATTGATATTATAATGCGATTGACGCTGCTGCTGCTGCTGCTGCTGCTGCTGCCGCTGCCGTGTTTGGAGCGAAGGTCAGTTGGTCGATGAAGGCAACTCCCACGTATTCCAGCTTGAACCTGTTTACACAGGCCCCAAATATCTTGCAGCTCATCAGGCATTTACATCCCATATATTTTTCGTGTTCGTTCTTCCAAAAAAGCACGCACACATTCACATTCACAGCTCTGTTTTGGGAAGAGCGGCAGAGAAGTGTCATAATGACATAATGGCTCTTTCTACCGTTAGATTCTCTTGACGCTTGTGCTTGAAATCTTAAATGTCATTTTATTATGCTTTTTATTGGCCCATTGTGCCGCTGATGCCGCGATGCTGAGAACCTAACTGTCAACGCTTTTTAGAGGTTCTTCTTGGAGGCTGGAAGCAGTCCGCACACCTCGT